GGTGTGAGGCCGGGGCTGGCCGGTGTGAGGCCGGGGCTGGGTGCCGGGGCCGGGGCCGCCTGACGCTGTGTGCCCACAGGGCCCGGAGCTTTCCCGGGAGGAGAAGCTGCAGCTGCGGAAGGAGAAAAAGCAGCAGAAGAAGAAGAAGAGGAGCGAGAAGGGGCCGTCGGCCGAGCCCCCGGAGCTGGGTGCAGCCCCCGAGCCGGGTGAGCTCCGGGCGGGGCAGCGCTGGGCCACACACGCGGTGTCCCCGGGGGGAAACACCCGGAGCTGGGAGCGCCTTTCAGCGGGACCCGGGCTGTGCCCGCACTCTGTGCCCCTGTGCCCCTGGAGCATCCGCGCTGCCGTAGGGATTGCAGCACACAGAGCCCACTCCCCTGCCCACAGGAGCCCGGTGCTGCCGTAGGGATTGCAGCACAGAGAGCCCANTCCCCTGCCCACAGGAGCCCGGTGCTGCCGTAGGGATTGCAGCACAGAGAGCCCACTCCCCTGCCCACAGGAGCCCGGTGCTGCCGTAGGGATTGCAGCACAGAGAGCCCGGTCCCCTTTCCACAGGAGCCCGGTGCTGCCGTAGGGATTGCAGCACACAGAGCCCAATCCCCTGCCCACAGGAGCCCGGTGCTGCCGTAGGGATTGCAGCACCGAGAGCCCAATCCCCTTTCCACAGGAGCCCGGTGCTGCCGTAGGGATTGCAGCACAGAGAGCCCAGTCCCCTGCCCACGGGAGCCCGGTGCTGCTCTATCAGCTGCGCCTGCTGAGGGCTCTCCGTGCCCGGGGCTGCCCCTCGCCATGGGCTGCATCTCCCGGCGATGGAGCCTGGCACAGACTCCCCTTCTCCCACGCAGGTGCTGCTCAGCCTGCAACCCCCTCAGCCTCTGCTGATGGCCCCGGCGATGGCGAGAAACCCGCGGGGGGCAAGAGCAAAGCAGAGCTGCGAGCAGAGCGCCGGGCCAAGCAGGAGGCTGAGCGGGCCCAGAAGCTGGCCAGGAAGGCAGAGCTGAGCCAGGCAGCCACAGCGACCAAGCCCCGGCAAAGCCCCACCGAGCCCCAGTCCAGTAAGGCTGTCATCAGCACGGGGGTAGAGGGTGGGTCAGTGGGATGGGAGGGTCTGGGGTGGACCAAGGCAGAGGATGCCTTTGTGATCTGTCCATGGCCTGGGTCCTGCCTGTCCCTGGGTGCTGCCCTGCTTTCAGTCTGCGCTCTGGGTCCTGCCTGTCCCTGGGTGCTGCCCTGCCTTCAATCTGCGCTCTGGGTCCTGCCTGTCCCTGGGTGCTGCCCTGCTTTCAATCTGCGCTCTGGGTCCTGCCTGTCCCTGGGTGCTGCCCTGCCTTCAATCTGCGCTCTGGGTCCTGCCTGTCCCTGGGTGCTGCCTGTCCCTGGGTGCTGCCCTGCCTTCAATCTGCACTCTGGGTCCTGCCTGTCCCTGAATGCTGCCCTGCCTCCCTGAATTTGGGGGTGCACCAGAGCAGCTTGTCCTCACCCCGGCTGTACCCACAGTGGTGAAGCGGCTGCCGGAGCACGTACAAGTGGATGACCCCAGTGCCCAGAGGAAGTTGGCCAAGAAGCTGGAGCGGCAGCAGGTAGGAGAGGGACGGGGTGACAGGCTGCACACCTGGGGCAGCCATGCTGCTGAGGGCCTGGGGCAGCACATGGTGGSACCAAGGCCTCCTCTCTGAAGGCAGAGGGGAATTGGCGTGCCCACATTGCCCTGGAATGAGCAGGACACTGGGTGAGCCATCACAACACTCGCCTGCAGGTCCCTCTGAGGCAGGACTATGGCACCAAGGTTAACCTGTTCTCCCACCTTCACCAGTACAGCCGGAAGAAGCCGCTGACGCAGCAGATGAGGTACGAGGCCTCTCCAGCCCAGGGCTCTGCAATGCTGGGCTCTGCTCTGTCTGGCCTGGCTGCAGAGTGGCTCTGCAGGAGGGGTGTCCTAGTCCTGCATGTGGGATACACCTGATGAGGTGGTGGGGGATGTTTTGCTTGCTTGGGGAGTGGCAGTAGGGACAGCCCTGTATTGTTTGTGGGGTGAGTGCAGGGCCACAGGATAAGGGGCTGTGGGGTGAGCCTGGCTCCTCAGGTYACTGCCACCTCCCTTCCTGGGCTGTCCCTTGAATTGTTGGGCTGGGGCCTGTCAGTGGGTTGGGTGTTTTGGGCTGCAGAGGTGCTGACAGCTGTCTCCTGCTGGTCCATGCAGCATCCCCTCCACAGTGATCCACCCGGCAGTGGTGCGCCTTGGSCTCCAGTACTCCCAGGGCATCATCAATGGCTCCAACGCCCGCTGCATTGCGCTGCTGGAAGTCTTCAAACAGGTACTGAGCAGCAGTGTGGGGCATTGTGCTGGGCACAGCTGTGTGTTCCTGTTCCCTGACTGCTGAGGTTGTATCTGTATCAGCCTCTTCCCTAGGATTGTGCCAGGGTGGGGTACTGTTCTGGCACTGTCATTGTGGTTTTGAGTCCCTGGAGCAACCTTTGCTGCTCCAGGCAGTGTGTCAGGCTGTGCAGGACATCTGTGCCTTGACTGCAGCCAGTCAGGCAGCGTGCCCTGAGATCATACTCCCTTTCTACTTGTCCCAGCTGATCCGGGATTACTCCACTCCCCCCAATGAGGAGCTGTCACGGGACTTGGTGGCCAAACTGAAGCCACACATCAGGTGAGGGCTCCTGACACTAGAGCAGAGGGACCAAAGCTCCACAGAGTGTGGTCCATTGTTCGTGTCTCTGGGTTGCTGTACACCCAAATTTCAGCTGACTTCCCCAGGGTTCTGCCTTCCTGCCCACTCTCCCTCTCCGTCTTGGCCCTCCAGGCTGCTGTGGAGCTAAACCCATTTCTTCTGCAGTTTCCTGAACCAGTGCCGGCCACTCTCAGCCAGCATGGGCAACGCCATCAAGTTTCTCAAGAAGGAGATTTCCTGCCTGCCTGACACCCTGAGAGAGGAGGAGGTGAGTGGCAGGCTCCAGGCACCCTCCTGGGGTGAAGGAGCTGAGCAGGGATGGGATGCAGACTGGGAATGGTGCTGCAGAGCAGTTGGAAGCTGAGCTTCTCCCTCACTGTCAGGGAGAAGAGCCTGACCCCTGCCTGGCTCCAGTCAGGGTGCTGCAGAGAGCAGGGAGGGCTCTATGTGATTCTGTGCTCCCCAGGCAAAGGAGAAGCTCCAGGACATCATTGACAAATACCTGCGAGAGAAGATTGTCCTGGCAGCTGAAGCCATCTCAAGGTCTGCCTTTGAAAAGATCAATGACCACGATGTGATCCTGGTGTATGGATGGTGAGCACAGAACACGGGCAGCTGATCTGGTGGGCAGGAGAAGGGAATGGAACAGCACAGGACTGTGCAGTGAGGCTGTGATGGTTCTGCACGGGGCTCA